ATAGTAATCGATTGCGTCGCATACCGACTAAGGTGCGCGTCTTAAGGCGCTGCATCTTAAGAGGCGACCCGGCGCGAGGCAAACCTCTTGCATAATCCGCGCGATGCACACGTGCTCTCGCATAACAACGCATTATCCGCGCGGACTGCATGCATGCATGCATGCATGCATCTCTAGTCTTCGCTTCGGCGCCGCTGCGTTGCGCGTCGAGCTCTCGAGGGCGTTCGCGAAAACGATTTCACCGGCGCGGAACGCCGTACCGTCGTTGCATCGCCGTTGCATCGCCGACCTTGTCGCGTTTCTCTTCTTTTTCTTTATCTTCTTATCGTATTACTATAACTTTGTTAAAATGTCGTGAGAGCGATCACAATGATAATTGCAAATATTTCGCGTGTGATTCTGAAATATTAGATCCTTATCGCGTAATTATTACTTTCATTCGTGCGTGTATACGTTCTTCAAAGTATGGAAAAAAGAGCGGGCAGAACAGAGGTTTCCAAGAACCGCGAAACTTTGGCGCGCGCAGCGTTTTCCTTTTAATTACGAGAGGCGCGAGGAGAGAAGGATCTCGCCTTAAGGACTTCCTTGGCAGAATCTCTCAACGGCGCGTCACTACCGCCTTGTTATTTTCCTCCTCTTTTTTTCCTCTCTCCTTTTTTTTCTTTTTGACTGCGGATCTCGAGCTTGTCCTTTCTCAAAGTCGGTCTAGAGATGTGAAATTATCTCTCGGTGTGCATCCCATACTGAAGACGAGAGCACCATTTTTATGAGCGCAAAAATAATATGAAGAAACGCGGGGATACCTTAACGTGCTAAAATACAAATCTGCAGTTAGAGAAACGTCCGGTGCTCCGGGGACACGTTATATTAAATTTCACACCTCTAATCGTCGAACCAATTTACAACTAAATGTCAAATTGTTAATTTTATGGTATTATAGTACGAGAAATATTCTTTTCGGCTATTATCTCTCTCAAAGAAAAAAAGTTTATTAACTAAACGCGTCGTTAATATTAAGTAAAAAATTTGAAACATCGTTTCCTCTGGTGTCAATCAACTTTGACTTTACTTTAACAGATTGGCCGGACTCTACTTTGTCTCTTTCTGATCATTCTATTTCTAAAAAAGGACGAAGAATCAATTAAATCGACCTGTAACTGAGCAAACATAAGATAGATGCGAAGGCAATCATTCGTTAACGTACACATCTGCGTGACATTTGAAAGATGCATTAATTGAAGATAAGTTATTCTTCATTCTCGAAATTTTGATTAAAATAGAATCGATCCCAAATTGGCTGACAGAGACCAAAATGAGAAAATTAAGATAAAGTTCGATGTTCTCTCTTGAAACATTATAATAATTTCAATTACGTGATTCTATAAATCGTAATAAATGATTGAAGTGAGAATATAAGTAGGTAAGATTAGATAAGATTAGATAGGATTGAAAGATAATATAGAAATATAAAGAGATAATTAATTAAAATTGGAATTAAAGTAACAAATCATAAGATATGAAAAAGACTAGTCAAAAATAAATAAATTTTTTAAAGAACATTTAAATTATTATTTAAAACAAGTAGGGGGATAAACTAATTACAAATAAAGAAAATCAATTCAACAGAATGAGTGTCGTATAATAAATAATTCTCGGTTACGTTGCTGCTAAATTTAAATAAAAAATGCCAGCAACCATATTGTTTAAAAATCATATATGTAAAATATATACAACATCAATTGAATAATTAAACTAACGTGTTATATGTTTATTAATTATAATATTATAACAATCAATTTTAAATTAATATTTATTATTATATGAATTAAATTATTGAAAAAAAACTCACCAACTGCTCTCGACGATGTCTCCCCCATGATTGGTCCAGCCGTTGCGTTACATGCTGTTAATTCGGAGTTAATTCAAACCGGTTAGTTGCACGCATGTGTATTAGTCATCTGCAAAACAAGAGTACACTCATATGAAGGACTAGTAGTTATGTGGTATAACGCAAGTTGTAATTGCACTCTCACCAGATACATTTTTTTCTTAAATCGGTGAACTACGAAAGGTTGCGAGACGTGCAATTTATTGCAAAAATGTCATCATCCTTTCCTTTCATACGTATAAATCATGAAGGTTCGTACACACATATAAAGAATTTCGTGTATATACTTATTATACATATATAAATGTTTTTTTTTTCGCACAATATATACGTAACATAATATAAAATATAAAATGATATTAGATTTATCGCTGCAGATTGTTTACACACTTATTCATTGAAATGAATTTTTTGCGGACTGTAATGGCGAGCCGTAATTCCTGTAATTCCGATTAATCATCGTCGATCCGAGTAACCAGAAAGCGATGGACCGAGCATCCATCACGGGAAAGTGTTTAATTCCGGCCGCCATGTTGCGACAACATCCATCAACGTGTCGTTAAACAACGCGTTGGTCCCGCTGATAAGAGAGCGCGACAAATCGCGATAAAAGTCCTTTTACGAAGCACTATCTCGTTGTGATTAGAAATAGTCAGGCAGGAAATAGTTCCCGTCAAATCTAATTAAATTCACATCTGTCACATCAAAAATTAAAAATTTAATTAAACTTTAATTAAATTTTACGAACTTAAATTCAAAAATAATTTAATTCATTAAAATTCAGTGAAAAATTAAGTGCAAAAAGACGATGAAGCGACGAGATAAGAGGTTCTACAGCGTTTCTCCCATAAAACGGTATTTTTTTTAATTAAACTCATACGAGTTTATTTATAAATAAACTCATTATGTATATTATCACTTATGTATATTATTACTTACATTATTATTTCTTATGCTTCAAAGATATCTTTGTAAGTTAGAATGAGCTTCGCACATCAGTGAGACTCTCACTTTCGTAGAGTGCTTCGGACTTAGATAACAAATTCCAGCAACAAGCTACTCTAAGCTTATCCTAAGCTCTATCTACTTCGTGTCTCGTTTCAGACTCATCTACATAATACTGAGAGTATCGTAATACGTCGTTTCGTATTGCCGAGACCAATACCGCGTCGCAGGGTGAAAGGAGTTTTCCACCGAACATTTTCAGATGCCTCTTGCGGAGACAGATATTAACATGCATTAGTCGATAAAATGCGAATAATATTCGTCCTTATAACGCACGACGATCACCGGCTGGGAAAACGCCGCTCGTTGTATCAGGTCTCTTGTAACAAAAAAATTAAAACGCCATGGCGTGAAGATGGGAAAGCTGGTACACGGACGACGGCACCTGGGGTTTTGCTCCGGTGTCTTATGCAAACGACTAGTCCTTTCTTTCGTCCTGCGCGTCGGTTAATTGCATCGGCGCGTTTAATTGTTCATCGTAGAATGCAGCGGTCGTAAAACGTCCGATTAAGCGCGCGGGTATTCGTTTTCGCCTTCGAATCGCGCCTCGTAAATTCGCGACATCACCCGTAAGGCAACGCGACCCTCGCGAGGAATCCCATTGTCTCCATAAACGTAAACACGGAATAATCCTTTTTCTGATTTTACGCGGCACTCGATTCGTTCGATTCACACGAATATGGCATTAAATAATTACCATGTTCGTGTGCGTACGTTAATTTTACATGCACTTTCCCTCCGCGAGCGATTGACTTCATCAATGATAATATCAGTTTTCATTTATCTTCCGTCGTTCCCTGATGATGTTATTGTTGCAAATAATTTCGGAAGATCCGTTAGGAACGATCTTTCCTTTTATTGTCATTGTTATTATTATTACGAAGTATCTTTCCAAATAAACTCATCTCATTGTAAACAGATCGCGTGTCCCGCCACGGAGAAATTAAAAAGTAAAAAAGAAAATACCGCGCTTCTCACGTCACGCTCTCGTTCGTTCATTTGACGATCGATCGTTTCATCGGTCGATTATTATTATCGCGGATGCTGCCTTCCGTCAGATTGAATTGTCTTTTCGCGCATTAATCTTCATCGCGATTCGTCGCACTTTCGCGGTTTCCGCTCAGATTTCCATCTCTTCGAAGTGAGATATCCTCATCGAAATAAATGTCTTCGTAGTAAGTTTTTCCCCGAAGTCTTGTGAATGAAGTCACACGCGCTATTATGTCGGGAGCGTGTTTTACCTTGAAATTTATCGTATTCGCCGAGGAGTGTTAAGACAGTCTAACGGACGACAAGAAAGTAACGTACTATTTTCGTCGAGCAATTAGCGGTCGCGATTAAATTGCCGCGCGCGCATTGTTTCACCTCGAAATAGCGCACGTTTCGCGAATTCGCGCAATTAAAACAGACGCTTTAGTAAACAAATAGCGACGAGCCGTGCTATTGCTTGTATGTTTGGCGATACGCGCAACGGTGTAATGCGCGCCAGCGCGAGCGCGCGCGAGCCAATTATCATGCAAATATTAATAACGCAAACATTAACGTCGACTCGACTGACGTTCCGTCCTGCTTTCCCCCGTTGCCACACTTTCCGCCAGTTTCGCGAAAAATAAGTACGATTTATCGATCTTTCATTGCGCTCTAATAATTTCCATTTTATTTGTTGATTCTTAAAGAGAAACTGCACGATTTGTTTGTTATTTAGCTTGCTTTATATATATATATATATATATA